AAATAACTTATTCCCACTGATTTTATTTAACACAACAGTGTGTGTCTCACAAACTGATGCTAGTCTTGAGTTTGCTGAGCAAGCTTATTGACACAAAATATTATTTGCATTATTTTTCTGGTAGTCAGGGTACAGCCAGCTTTCTGCTGACATTTCAAGTCTGTTGTAAGTCAACATAAGATGCTTCAGGAAGCCTTACCCTGTAGAGGTTAAGGTTTTGTTCCTCTAGAGTGTAGAACAGGCTTTCCACCATGCTGTTGATTCTTCAGAGGATTGTGGCTGAGGAGTGGCTTCAGCTATGATCCACTTTACCTTTGCGTTTTCATAGCATCACAGATTTTAGGTAGTCTAACATCACTGTGTCCATTTCCTAGACAATCTAGTGGTGGCAAACTCTGATAAGGATCCTGTCATTCCAATTGCAACTGGTTTGTCCATAGGCATATATGTATACATGTTGTATACATTTCTTGCTGGATTTGTCCCTACTTATACCAAAAAATATGTATAAATATGGGTCTATTTTGTCAGCTCTAAAGAGGACAGAAGTTGTTTAAGTTCTGTTTGTTTTGTGATCAAATAAAATGTGACAAGATCAATGAATAATGAGGGTTACATACTTGCTACTAAAATCCAAAAGATGCAAGATATGTAAGAGTTGTATGCCCAGGTGTAATAGGTGAGTTCTTTGAGCAAATGAAGCTAATATCCAGGCATGGCTAGATGAATAGAGAGGAGGATTCAAGAACAGCACCATATTGTATATAAACAAATTCAGTTGAGAAAAGGAGAAGAAAGATTGAATAAATAGAATGAAACACACTATTTCACAGAATCACACAGAATCACAGAATGTTAGAGATTGGAAGGGACCTCGAAAGATCATCTAGTCCAATCCGCCTGCCGGAGCAGGACACCTAGATCAGATCACACAAGAACGCATCCAGGCGGGCTTTGAATGTCTCCAGAGAAGGAGACTCCACAACCTCTCTGGGCAGCCTGTTCCAGTGCTCTGTCACCCTCGCTGTAAAGAAGTTTTTCCTCATACTCAAGCGGAACCTCCTATGTTCCAGCTTGAACCCATTGCCCCTTGTCCTATCACTAGATGTCACAGAGAAGAGCCTGGCTCCATCCTCCTGACACTCACCCTTCACGTATTTATAAACATTAATTAGGTCACCCCTCAGTCTCCTCTTTTCCAGGCTAAAGAGACCCAGCTCCCTCAGCCTTTCCTCATAAGGGAGATGCTCCATTCCCTTCATCATCTTTGTGGCTCTGCGCTGGACTCTCTCCAGCAGTTCCCTGTCCCTCTTGAACTGAGGGGCCCAGAACTGGACACAATATTCCAGATGCGGTCTCACCAGGGCAGAGTAGAGGTAGAAATTAACCACAAATCTCCTGAGCCATTCAGTCCCCCAGAGTAAGCTATCTGCTTAACATACATAAAAAGCAGTAGATCATGTGAGTATTTCCTAGTGCTTGACTGATTCTTGTAGTGGGTCAGTGTCTTGCTGGCCTCGTTAGCAATGCCATCAAATTGGAAGACACAAAAATAGTCAGAAAAAAGTATTTTCACAAAGATTCACAAGGAATAGGATGGTCATCTCAAAGGAATTATTCCAAAGTCACCACACAATCTAAGAGGGTTCACAAGCCTTTGTTCAGATGACTTCTAAGAATTAAACCTCAGGAGATAAAGCACGTCAAGGCAAGGCAGAAAAGGAAGGTTTTGCTAAATCTGTTTTCACGCAACCTTCAGCTCAATGTTTTGAGTTCCTCACTGAGCAGTTATCTTGTCATTGAACAGCAAGACTGAACTGCATTCTTCTGTCTTTGTAATCAAATCATCTTTTAGCTTAAAAATTGGTGGGGAAATGGAGGATTGTTTCTTCCTTAGTTCTTTAATCTGTAGTATTGGGGAGAACATATCTGTAGTTTTATCTCAAGCATAAGCTTTGGGGTTTTTTTAACAAGGTCAGCTTTGCCTCAGAAGCAGATCTAATTACTATTATGTCCATCCTGAAGAGATGTCCCAGAGTATTGTGAAATTCTCTCCTTATACAGGGGTCAGCAATAAAGTAATAAAGGTTGTAAGGTTGTCATGGCAAAACAAGAAACAGAATAATGTACTTCTAGTTTTTGAGATTTACAGTCAGCGTTTAGAGTGATAATTTGCTAAACACAATGATTTTTTTTAAAAAATTCATGAGGGTGATAGTAGATAGCTAGAAGTAAAGGGGTTAGAATGAAGAAGACAGAAAATGGGATAAAATATGGTAGAAAACGTCATGGTTTATTCAGTCAGAGAGCTTGCTAAGGTCTAACCTAACCTGATCTTTAAGCAGTAATTGTAAGGCCTAAGAGTGCCTGCCTGTATCTGATAGTTTTTGGGTTTTTTTTGGTTTTTTTGGCTCCAGAATAGTCTCATGAAGGTTTCTGCTCCATCTTTCCTTTGGATACTTTAAACCTAAAATGAATATAACTTTATGGATGTGTTACAGGGATCAAAAATATAAGGATAAGGCTAGACAGCACAATTACTCCTTTTTGCTCCCAATTCTTTGTGATAAAGAGATTAGAATTTGGTGAAGATCAGCCCTAGCTTGTCTTTTTTCCTTGCTAGTTAACATATTCCAAGGAAATTCAAAAACTAAATTTAACAAAGTTATCTGCTAAAATACTGAAGTTGAACTTCTCTTAAATCTGCTACCACAGTTCCCAGGTAGCATGCTAACGTAACTGATGACAATAATATCCAGGAAGAAGAAAAGAAAGTGCACATGTTATCACAGTACTAAAATATATTTCTTTCTTATCGCAATACAAATATCAAGTAAAAATAATTAAGACTTGCCTTTTGTGAGAATAGCAGCTGAGAACTAGAGTTTATCCACACTTTTTTCAAAAACAAAACTCCATCTTCCTGGAGTGTTTATTAGTCTGAGTGTCTTTATATGCAGACAAAGATATACAAGCAAGAAATTTTTTTATAAAATGCATTATAACCTGATGCTGCAAGCAACTTAACAGTCATCTGAAAATAATAATCTCATAAAATATTATAGACCTTTTAATGAGTGTGTTATTAATAGCTCTTCCCCAATACCGGTAACCATCTGCGACTGCTTCACCATCTGTGATTGCTATTTCAGTTTGGGAGGGGGAAATAACAGCGGTAAATTTACAATATGAATTAATAGCCAACTAGACCTACTGTAGATGATTAATTTGTCTTTGATTATAAGTACACACTGAGCATGAGAAAATTACTTTCTTTGATTTGTTGGCACAACATGGGTTTGGGAAATGGCCACAGGAAGCTGAAAACAAAATTAAATTGCGTTTGCTGAAATCTGAAACATGCAAAAGTTGATGGAATTTAGATGAAAAAGGATGAAAAGAGCTTAAAAGGCACTTGAAAAGGTAGTGAATGTTTCTTTAAAGATCTGTGACAAATGATGTGTTGATTATTGTGATTTGCTAAGGTTAGGTAACAAGGGAGCAGCAAAAGAGGGTTATCAACACTTATTAAAAACTTTTACAAATTGTTGATGATATATTAGAATAAACAGAGAAAATAGTGATTTATAAACTCCTAATTAAAATTAATCATGTTGATTTATTATCTGAGTGAAGTAGCATTTATTTCAGGAGAAATTCCATTTTTAATTAATAACAGTTAATACTTGCTAAAGTGCTGTCCTTGCCTGCAGAGGCAGAAGTGTCAAGTTGGTTAATATTCTTTTTTACTTCCCTTATTAAACTGTGATAAAATGTTTCCATATTTTGCTGTTTAACACAGCTGCATTCTGTCATGGCTGAAGTGATTATTTTTAGTGTATGTTATAGATCAATCCCTTTTCCTTTACTAAGGCAAAATTTGTCAGAAACTGTTGGGGAGATAGGATAAAATTTCAAAACCATTCAAGTCCCACTTTTTAGTGTATCTACATTGTGTGGGATCCTAAATTTTCTTCAAAACTAAAAAGAACTTTTCAAAAGTCCTAGTAATTTAGGGTGCAATTTAGATTGCGTCTAACCAGTTGCATTGCCTACTTTCTAGTGGATGAAGAGAGATGGGCACCTCCAAAAAATGACTCATCATTTGGAAGGTAGATACTTCTAGATCAGGAAAATCACCCTTCTGCCATTAACTGTGGGGAAGTTTGGACATCTGGATTGAACTTGATTCCTATATTTTTATGCTGCCTAACTTTTTTCAAGTTTTAAACTGTAGCTTTGTAACTGGAACAAATTTTGTTTAAGAAAGTCTTCACTTAACTGAAGAAAGCTCACACCACTTTTGTAAAGCACAAGAATCTTCCCTGAAAATATATGTGTAGCAGCAGAGGTGAGGCAAAAATGACAAGGTGGACTAACGACTACCTGTTGTAGCAAGTGTGTTGGCACCAGAAAGTCCTGCTTTGGTGTCTGGATTTCAGTACAAGTTATAGCTACTCAGTATGCACTCAGTGTCTGGCTCAGAGACTCCAATTCGATTGCACAGATTATACATATATATGAATATGTATATATGTACATTTATATTTGTACATTTATATTTATACAAATATTTTTCTATTAGATGTTATTTAAAAAGAAAGTATGCAGGTCTATTTATATTCCCCTCCCACACACACGTGTACTGTATATGTTTATGTGTAAGCATATGGAGATTAAAGAAACCCTTTAAAATTACAGTCAATTGAATGTCAAGAATATAAAGTAGATTTTTCAATCTTAGGCTAAACAAAGTCCTAGTGAGTGTCACCCTTATTTTGCGTTATATTGCTTATCTTCCTGACCTTTAACAGACTGATTGTGGCATTTTTTCATGCTGTTTTCTGCTGCTTGCTCACAGATACCACAAGCTTCCTCTTGGTCAGAGAAAGTATGTGGTTAAGATATAAAGCCATACCTGAAAAAAATTTAAGCATCTTGTGGTTAATTTGCAATCAAGCCTCCTGAACAGTGATTCAGTCTTGTTTCTTCTATTTCAGACAAAAGCTTCAAGCATAACTCCATCAGGCACTCAAAAGAAGGTGAAGAGGACTCTGCCCAACCCACCTCCAGAGGAGGCAACAGCAGGAACTCAGTCACCATATACTTCTGTGGGATCAGTTTCACGCAGAAGGATTTGTAGGACCAATACTATGGCCAGAGCCAAAATTCTTCAGGATATAGACAGGGAATTGGATCTGGTCGAACGTGAATCAGCCAAGCTTAGGAAGAAGCAAGCAGAGCTAGATGAAGAGGAAAAAGAAATAGATGCCAAGCTGAGATACTTGGAAATGGGCATTAATAGGAGGAAAGAAGCCTTGCTAAAAGAAAGAGAAAAGAGAGAACGTGCCTATCTCCAAGGAGTAGCAGAAGAACGTGATTATATGTCAGACAGTGAAGTTAATAATACCAGGTCAACCAGAATAGAAACTCAGCACGGCTTGGAAAGACCACGTACTGCGCCCCAGACAGAATTTAATCAGTTTATGCCACCACAAACTCAGCCAGAAACAGAGTTTGCCCCTGCTACAAGCCCATATGCTCAATATCAGTATTCATCTCCTGCCCTGCCTACCCAAGCACCATCTCAGTTCACGCAGCAATCACATTACCAACAACAGCAGCCTTTGTATCACCAGCAGGTTTCACCCTATCAGACCCAGACAGCTTTCCAAACAGGATCTACCATGTCCTTTACTCCACAGGCTCAACCTCCACCATCTCAACAGCCATCATATCAACTCCCATCACAGATGATGGTGATACAGCCCAAGCCAAGACAAACAACATTATATTTGGAGCCTAAAATAACAACAAACTATGATGTAATTCGCAATCAGCCTCTCATGATAGCACCAGTTTCAACTGACAATAATTATGCAGTTTCTCAGCTAGGCAGTAAGTACTCTACCTTGGACTTAAGGATAGGGCTAGACGAGAGAAACAGCATAGCAAGCAGCCCTATATCAAGCATATCTGCAGATTCATTCTATGCAGATATAGACCACCACCATACACCCCGAAATTATGTGCTGATTGATGATATAGGAGAGCTTACTAAAGGAACAGGAGCACTTGGTTCCAGTTTTAGCCTCCACGAGAAAGATCTGACCAAAACAGATCGACTGCTTCGCACAACTGAGGCCAGGAGAGCACAAGAAGTGCCAGACTTCCTAGCACCACTGCAGACTTCTTCTAGGTTACATTCCTATGTTAAAGCTGATGAAGACCCAATGGAGGACCCTTATGAGCTCAAACTTCTGAAACACCAGATAAAACAAGAGTTCCGTAGAGGTGCAGAAAGTCTTGATCATCTGGCTGGCCTCTCACAGTATTACCACGCAGAGGGCAGCTACAGGCATTTTCCAAAATCTGAGAAATATAGCATAGGTAGACTTACTCTTGAGAAACAGGCTGCTAAACAGCTCCCAGCAGCCCTCCTTTACCAGAAGCAGTCAAAACACAAAAAAGCCTTGATAGACCCCAAACTAACAAAGTTTTCACCTATCCAAGAAGGCAGAGACCTTGAGCCTGACTATTCAACCTATATGACTTCTAGCACTTCAACACTTGGGGGAATTACTACTAGGGCAAGGCTTCTTCAGGATGATATCACTTTTGGCCTTAGAAAAAACATCACTGACCAACAGAAATACATGGGGCCACCACTGACTTCATCCATTGGAGCAGGCCTTGCGACTGCCCTAGGTCCAACAGTGAGATCCACATTACAAGATGAAGCAGACAAGTCTTATAGCAGTGGTAGTAGATCTAGGCCCTCATCTAGACCCTCATCAGTTTATGGGCTTGATTTGTCATTGAAAAGGGATTCTTCCAGTTCTTCCTTAAGACTGAAAGCTCAAGAAGCTGAACCCTTAGATGTTTCCTTTAGCCATGCAGCACCTTCTGGAAGAACTAAACCCACCAGTCTACCTATTAGCCAAAGCAGGGGAAGGATCCCAATAGTAGCACAGAACTCAGAGGAAGAGAGCCCACTAAGTCCTGTTGGTCAGCCAATGGGAATGGCAAGAGCAGCAGCTGGACCCTTGCCACCAATATCCGCAGATACCAGGGACCAGTTTGGATCGAGCCATTCATTACCTGAGGTCCAGCAACATATGAGGGAGGAGTCACGGACTCGGGGCTATGATCGAGACATAGCCTTCATCATGGATGACTTCCAGCATGCCATGTCAGACAGTGAAGGTAAATTAGGCCACAGACTGGTATCTTACTATCACAATGAAAATCCTCATTTCTATGCATGTGTCTAATTTTTGTTATACTGCAAAGAGTTGTTCTTTTTTCTGTTCCTTGGTGCATCTTCTGTGTATCTACATTTTTAGGGTTTGATTTGGTTTGTTTTATTTGATTTTTTTTTACTTTACCCTAACAGCAGTTTCTGGATAGTGTTAAGCTGCTCTAGCATGCTCACTGTATTGTTGTTGATTCGCTTTCCTTTTGGTTTGCTTGTGCATTTTCCTTTTCACTTGTTGATGTCTACTTTTCTAATGAGACTGTGTAGAATACTCCATGTACAATACATACTCTACCATTAGTCTTTATGTGGAGCCTTCTCCAGTGACTGTAAATCATTGAATGTATTTGCAACAGTTTTTTGTTGGGATTTGGAAATAATCTCCCAAATCCTCTAAAAAACTCTAGTAATTTTATTTGCATGAAATTCCATGATTCAAGAACTGGTAATTCCATCTCCCAATGCACCACTTTAGATCTGCATTTATATAGAAAGAGTATGCTCATTAAGTATATATTGTGTGTTAGAACCATATAGAGCTTAATGTGATAGCAAAATAGCATTCTACATGTAGTTTGTTGAAAGCATCCTGTCCCGTGGACTTCTGTGCATTCAGAATTGTGATGATGTAAGATAATTTGTCATTCAGATGGTGCAAGACAATCTCATCCTTCAATAAACTTGCATAAAGTATTTTACTTCTGTTGATGGATTATGCAGCATAGCTGGTTTAATATGCACCCCATACAAAATGTCTGCCAAATAAGCACAAGAGTTTATCTCACTTAGGTTCGTGAAAGGAACCTTTCTGATGTATTATAAATGGTGCAATTAAAAATGTTTCCTCTGAATAAGTACAGCAGAATGTTAAAGCTGATGTTAAGTACTAAATAATTGCAAATTTTGTATTAGTTTTGTTTCAGTCAGTTCAGACAATATATTCTAAATTGTTTAGAAATCATAAAGACAGTTTGAAAGAAATTGAAATTAATATGTTTGAAATTGTATGCACTCCCTTAACTTTTTCTTCTGTGTATTTACTGCACAATAAAAGAGACTTTGCATGTGCTATATTGTCTGTAAATGGCAATGATTGTCTCAAAAGACACATTTGCATGATTATGAAGTAGTATGGTTTATTTTTCAGGTTTATATTAACCTCAATGTTCGTTATCGCATTACTGCTTTTTTATATAAGCTCAATCTTTCATAAGCATTAGAAAATTTCAAAAATTTAGAAAATTTAACCTATTTGCTTTCCTGATACAACAATATATTTAAGGGTTCTGTTCTGTAAGTTCCTTTTCATATTTTTTAGATATTTACAACATCTTCATGTAGTCTGTTTCAGGGGAGGTTGAGGGCCATCAGCTTTTTTTATTTTTATCAGAATTGTGTTTTCACTGTTCTTAAATTTTTAGCACACAGCGTCCTATAATAAATCTGAAGGAAGTTGAGAGAAAGTCCCCAAGTTGCATCTCATATCATTCATCTTAAATAAGCAGATGTTATCTTGTCTCAACCTGACTTGTGACTTTCAGAGTCATCCTAGGGTCACATTGTCAATGACACAGGATATTTCCTCCTGAAAACTAAGGAGAACCAAACAGGAGCAAAAAAGCCTGCTTGGTGCTATTCTACCTCATATGAACAGGTCACAGGGAATTATATTTCTGCACTACAGTGCATTATGTTTCTGTTATATATTTGTACAATGCATGCATGTTACATTTTAGTTGGAACATATTTTGTTTTTAAATTAGTCTCTTATTGATTACAATCTTTCAGAAGTATTCTAAATCAATTCTCACATTCCTTGTTAGATTGACTTATCCTTGAATACCAGGGCTTCCCCTTTCAGCAGTATTCTTCTAATTTCTATCAAGCTTCTGTTTCTTCACAAGTAACTTATTTTTGCATCATTCTATGTAACGGCTTGAGAAATAAAACACTTTACGATATTATTTTCAAATATGCTAATAGCAAGTAACTTGAATTGAAAATAATATAATTTTGATGTAAGGTAAAAAATATTCCAAAGAAGCAATTGCAGTTCTTCAGAAAGTTGTGGCCTTCTTTTCTCTGGACTGCAATTCTCTCTATAGCGCCCTGACAGATATTCTGGCATGTTGCATCCAGCCTTTTAAGACAGTTTGCTTTGCTTTTTCTTTTTTTTCCATTTTTCTTTTTTTTAAAAAAACAACAACTGCATAGTATTGATGAGATTTCATGAAAATAAATCAGTCAAGCACTGTCTTAGGAAAACTCTTCTTGTGCTAAAGCTTGAATTTTCATCTTTAGAGACTTTTAAAAATGAATGTAAGCCCAGGTATTAAATTTAAATTGTCTTTCTTCAGTTCAAATTGAGAGATGTGCTTGTCTTTCTGTTCATTTTTTATAAGTCACATTCTGTAACAAATACCAGAAGCGAATACAGATAGGCCTTTGAGGGCAAACCTTCTGTTTCTCACTAAGTACACCTACACACTGTAACAAATCTTAAAACCATGCTTCAGCACATAAGTAGTCCACTACACCAGGATTCCAAACTTCAAACAGGTTAAGAAAATGGCTTTAGTGGCAAAAGAGCACAACATCCAGAGGTTCCCATTGAAAATTAATATCATTCTGAGCTTTTGAAACACCTGGTATTTTCTCAGGATGCCAGGTACCATGAATCTCTAATCCAGCAAATAGCTCTTTATTCACCCCAAAGCTGACGCAGTTTCCCCAAACTATTAAGTATGTTGAAGATACCAGTTTTCAAGGATGCTGAAGCTAGGGCTCAATTTTATGAATGTACATAGTCCCTGCTGTTCAGCTGAGAACATATAAAACGTACCTTTTCTCATCTGAAGGTTTTTGGGGTTTTGGGGGGTTTTTTAGGTTTGTTTTTTCTTTCTTCTAGTGATAATTTGTTAATTCTACCATAGAGTTTAGAAGTCTAAAATTGAGATATGAAGATATCAAGACATAACACAGCTGACCCCTTGTAATTTTTCATTTGTGGGATTTAGACTGATCGCTGTTAATTCTCTGATCAAGTTTCTTGGACTCCACAGCCTGGAGTTCAATCTCCCCTTGTTAAACTGTGTGCAGTTAACAGTGTGGTACTTTATTCACTCTAGCAGGAGTTTTTTACAGATGGAACCATTGGGCTGCATCTTGTTAGTCTTCAAAAAGGGGTGTGTCCTTTAAGACTGTCAGTGATTTATCTTGGCTTTTCTCACATTTCCAGATGAAACAAATCCCAGTTAATCAAGCCAAAACCAATTGTGTGTGTATGTACATCTGAGTGTGGGGTATGTGTGTCTGTATACACATACATACATACCTTTCTTAATTTCATATGAAATACATACATTCATCACCGTTTGATAAAAAAGTAGGCTGGTCTGAACTGCATTATGGGATTCTACATATGTGCTAGCTTTTCAAAAGAAGAAATTGAGCAAAAGTTATTTCAACTGAGACAGGAGGAGAGAAAAAAATATCATTCTTCTGCTCAGCTAATGACACAGATTGTGATAGTCAGCATTACTATCTGGGATCAGGAAAATGCGTTAGGTTCTTCATGTAAGCTTCAGTAAGAAGTTCTGTCAGGATTAGTTATGAACCAGCCTGGTGCAGGCACCAGTCAATTGTCATAAATGTGTAAAGCATGAAGGATTTGCATATTAGATTATAATGGTTTATTGAGAACAACTGATCTATAACTAATCACTATCCAGACAAGCATCAACCTAATCACTAGCCAGACAAACATAAACCTTTAATAATGTTTCTATTAAATTCATATATGCTGATCCAAATAATATTTTCAAAGCATTTCATATCAGATTAAATTTGTGAACAGTTAGGAAGGAGATTGCATAAAATCTGAACCAAGATTAAGAATTGTCCAAAGGCCTAGTATAATGTAGGATGGTTTTTTTACCACAAACAAAATATTATTTTTCAAAAATCACGCATATATATTGCTCCTCTTTTTGGAGAAATTTAATAAATTAGTAATGAAAAAACACAACTTTTTTTTATTCTCCCATTAAACTTTTTTCATATTATTTGTTAAACAAACTAGATTATGTTTACTTTAACGACTAAATAGAGAAGATTATGCACACTACCATTTCTCATTTTAAATTCTCTTCTGTGTCACGGAACAATTGCATTCACTCTTGTTACTATAGCAACAACTGACCTTATTTAAGGTTTGCAGTTTCTGGTGGTTTTGCTGAAACAAATATTGTCTTTCTTTGAATTCCAAATTTATCTTGCTTATTAAAGCATAAAATTCAAACTTTCATTACATTTTAATTAGCTGCACATTGTTTTGGTTTACACTGATGGGCAACATAGATGAAAATCTGTATGTTGTACAGTGGAAATATTATTAAATATATAGCAGCTGATTCTGATCCCAGTGGGGTGAAGCCTATGTCAGTTGACCCAATAGTCAGTAAGCATCAATATATGTATTTGGAAAACTGATTTCAATTAAATGGTGTTATTTGATCCCCAAAGAGTGTCTAGCACAATATATTTTATACGGGTTTAAAACTGTTGCAAATATAATATAAATATTAGTCTTATATTAGAATTACTGCAGAAAGATCGCTCTGGCTAATTTTCCGTGCACAAAGGTTCATATTGCAAAATCGAGGGATGGAATTCAAAATGTGAACACTTGCAATATTTGTGCTTAGAATTACAAAGAATATAGATTGCTTGATATTTTCTTTGATTTGATATCTTAAAGGAGTCCAAATTTTCTTATAAGTAGTTCTAGATTATTTCCAAAATATTTTGAACAATATTCAGAAGTTTAGGAAATATTGGAGGCTGGCTTTTGAGGGTTGGTTTTGGGGGGTTTTGGTTTGATTTGGTTTTGCTGGGGTTTTTTTTGTTTTTTTTTTTTTTTTCTAGGCTACTGCAAATAACTAATTAGACAATTTTTTTCATCAAACATTTTATAAATGTGTGAAATCTGCAGTTTATTTCTGAGCTGCAAGAAGGAAGGAAATGGCTATAGCGCTTGGCAGTGGGTTTCTTCTGTTATTTATTATCCATAGTTGTGACATAAACAGGATCTTCTCACTTTGTTTTATCACTTACAGCTAAATTATGCCTGAGTTTAGTGTCTCAAGTCTCACCTGTACCTTTGCTTTAGCTGCATGGCCAATTAGTAACCACTCTGCATGTTTGCTATGCACAATGCACATTATTGCCCTTTGCCCAGCACTGGATCAGAACATTTGACCTGTCCTTGGTTTTCAAAGCCTATCATCTCCGTCGTGAAGAAACAGATTGGTTTGACAAGCCCAGGGAGTCTCGTCTGGAGAATGGACATGGCCTCGACAGAAGGCTGCCGGAGAAGTTGCCCCACTCTCGGCCACCAAGTCAACACCAAGATCAAGTAAGCTTTCAAGTAAGCTGTACCTTTAGTTTTTCAAAGGTTTGACAATTTAATCATACTGTCAGATAGTGTAGGGACTACAAGATTAGTCAAATTCATTGCTACATTCATCTGAAGTGCCGCTGAACCTGTATTTGCCATCAGTACTTGATGATGAAATTAGACTAACATTCATCTACAACTCAGTGTTAATTTGCAGGTTGTCTTTTGATTTTTTGAAATCTATTTGAAAGGAGTTATATATCTTACATAGATATCATATATATATATCTTTTATATATATATATCCTATCAGAATGTATCTGATTGGAGAACTATCTCTACATTGAGTATTCCTATTAAAAATAAAACTAGAAAAAACACCAGTGAGTCCCATTTTACTTTATCAGCTTTATCCCATCCAAATTCAAGCCCCTTTAGTAGTTTAAGCAAGAGAGTTGCTTTATCCTGTTGACAGTTCTTCACACTTTTAGTTGGTCAGTATAATCCCAGCAGTCTGTGATCAATTACTGAATAAATCCACAGGACTTCATCATTCTAAGCATTAGAATGTTTCATCTGTTATAGCTAGAAAGAAAATGAGTATATTCTGCTTTCAAGCTTGCCAACTTTGAAATCTAGTTCACCTTAGTATAACACCACATATCCTCCTTGTATTAATTAAGTTTATATAATTCAACTTTTTAAGGTCTTCACTTGATTGTCAGTTACCATTTTTACTGATTGATTGAGATTACGGTCTGTTTTCCCTGAGATGCAATGGATGCAAGAGAAGGTGTTGCACGGCCCTTTTGTGGTGCTTAATAGGTTATATTGCTCACATTAAATCCTCAGATAACATACAAACAGGAATATCCTACTGTCATGCAGCCTTAGAAACTTTTTTGCTCATGAGCATTTTTACTGACATTTGACAACAGAATGTAGTTTTTCTGAAGTAAGGATGTAGATTTTCTGAAGTAAGCATTCAAATATCTTACAACATGAGCTTACTTATATTTTTCCCTCTTTTTTGATCTCTAGTTTAGAGATTTTATATTTTTTTAACTTTTATTTTATTTTAGAGATTTTATTGAGATTTACACAGCCTAGGTTGTACTGAGAGTACCCATGTCTTGTTGAGAAAGAGGGTTTTATAAGATGCAGGTCTTACAGTAATCTATTCAAATAACTCACTCTATGAAACAAACTCATTGCAGGATAAAGGAAGTTTTAGAGTCTTCACAACTCTTAATATCACTGGCAATAGATTAAAAAGTGTCTATTTGAGCACTTTAATCCTCAGGAGAAATATGCGTTATTATGAGCGTACATAATTGCACAGCATGAAGTAAAATTAAAAATTTGCTTTGAAAATCAGGTTTGTCCAAGAAGAGGGCTACTGTTATCCTGAGCTCTGTGACATGGAGGTGGTCAGTGAGATGTATTTAACTTTTAGCACTCCATAGCTTTTGCCCTGGGGAACAGTTGCAGGTCAAGTTACTAGTCACAAAGGTCTGATCTTTGTTTTTTCTCTTGTATAAATAGCCCTACACTAGGACCAGCTGAAAGACTTAGATCGAAATTTTTCAAGAGGAAGGTTAAGAGGCCTGAGAGTTCTTGTTTTCTTGGATTATTTCCAGAAGGAGAATATACTTTTTTTTCTCCTGGAAGCTGTTGTGATACCCCCATGTTTATATGGAAATCGAGATACCGCGTTCAGAATCTTACCAAAAACATTTTTTAAGGTTTTGTAAAATATGGGATCGATATTGGAGAGTGAACATGTCCTAAACAGTTCTGTGTGGTGTCATGTAAAGCCTCTGAAGAAGAAAAGTGGTGTGGAAGCGGAAGCTTTGCAACAGTTCCCTCTTGAACTGTTTCCATACAGGTTAGCTACTGTCCTTCACCCACTGGTGTGGAGGAGAAGAGAGAAATGCCAGTTCTCATCAACTCTGCTTCATCTACCATGTCAAAATGTTTGTGTATGTTAGGTATCTTCTGTGAACCTTCGTTTGAGATAACTTAAACCAAAGTATTTTCAGACATATCCAGAAATTAAATTACTTTAAGACAAGATAAAAACAGTCACAGCCATTTTAAAAAGTTTCCTTAGCTCAACATTGAATTCTGAAAGTATAACACTTAGCAACAGAAGGAAGAAGATCAATATTAGCGCCTCTCCTTTTTAGCGTCCATTTTATATTTTAAAGCTATCAAGAAAAATAAATAATTTTCAGGTCAATGAGTGTGCTGAGACAAAGTAAACACTCCCTAAAGGCTTTTCAGTCCTTTGTCTTCTGTAAAAAAGAAGTTACTGAAATCATTGTCCCACGCTGTCTCCCTCCTGTATCCACTACTCAGTTCTGCACAGAGACCTGTAGTGTCTAAGCACACATACTCTGGAGCCAAAAATGGCAAATTGTTCTTCATCCTGACCATCTGAACAGGTCCACCTTCACCCAGAGCTGTCTTTGTTGCAGAGGCTTTCCTGAAATCAGTTAGGATGGCAGTTTGCTATTTAGCATGGTAATTCAGCCATTTCAACTCCTTTAATATCCGGTACTGAGCAAGAACCAGCCACAAAAGCAAGTGCTTGCACCAGTAGCACTAATTTGCTTTAACTACATCAGTCAGAGTTTCCAAATACACTTATACACTATAAATTTACCATTTGTATTTTCTTCTTTGTAAAAAAATGTGAATATTTTGCTGACCACTACAACATTTGTTTTCCAGAAGGTTTTGTTTCACATGTGTGAAACATCAATTTCCTTACTAGATTAAATCAGAACTGCTTGATTATGTCTCACAGAGCTTGTACAATTAAAGGTAATAAATAAAGCACAACTGGGCTCTTGAACCAAAAGCACAGCAGAATGACAACCTTGAACTTCCAGGTTTCCATGGACATCTTATAACCTAGCAGATTAAACTTACATACGGTATTATGAATATTAAAATATATTTGTTTCTATAGCAACTTCTGTAATGCTACATAGTGTTCTTAAATCACATTAAATTGCAGTGCAGTTTAGTATCTTAATAGCTGTTTCCCAACATAGTGACTCTAAACTGCTTACCTGAGGAGAGTAAACATGGTTTAAACCTAATAAATACATAATCTACTGCAGATAGATCTTAACAACTAATCCTTGTTGACTTCAACAGTTTGTTTAGTTGCTGCCAGTTGAGCAGCAACTTCTTTAGATCTCCAAACACCAAGGCTTCTTTTGTTATTATTTTCTATGAAGTTTATTTGCATATTCTGAAGTAAACCATCTGTTTCAAGCAGTTTGGGAATGAACAGTAGGAGGAGGCACCAGGGACGTACAAGATCATGACAAGGAGATGGACAGTGAGGGTGTATGAACGGGAGATAAGGAGATTCTCAGTGAAGGGTTCTAAATACAGAACTTTCAGTTATCATAAGTGGGTCTTTTTAAGCCCTAAATGAATAACAAAACCCTAATCTCATCATAATACCAGTGTATTGTCATCAGTTCACTTTAGCAACAGTTTCTAATCACATAAAGAAGGCTAGGGCTCTGGAGATGCAACCTTTTGAATGTCAATCCCCTGTTTCTAAAAGGCCTTGTCTTGGTTCCTGGGTCTGTACCGTTTGCGTGAAATTTAAGTCATGCCTTTTTAGGGGCACTCGAATATTTAGAAATTATGAAAAAATGTGTCATAAGGTTAGCAGTGGGGTTAAAATGAGAAAATACTGTTTGTGACAGAGATCCAGAAGGCTACCTGCAAACTTTTGTTCCACAATTTTTAAGTCCATGTTGCTTAGTTTTAATTGTTCTCCAACTAGCAAGGAAATTTCATTTTAATTTGTAGTAAACTGCTTTCTCTGTTTGAGGCTTGGGAGGGGGAGGAATTTTGTGATTCAGATTCTCTGGAAAAAATTATGAGAAATAGGACATTTCCAAATTTAGCGTAATTGTTAAAATATTTAATCTAATGCGTGAATTCTTAGCCACCCCCTCACTGTAATTCAGGATGGAATTTATCAGGCATTTCTTAGTCACCCAGAAATGTTGTTCTCAATGCATGACAGAAAGACTTCTAAATCACAAGTCAGAGTTCTGTGGTGACCTAATTGCAGAAGCAAAGGCCACTACTGTGAAATTTATTAATGAGCAGGAACATTGTATTTGTTAGGTTTTTCTTCAATAGTTCTTTTGCAAAATATCTCCATCATCAGGGATCTATCAGTAGAGAGAAGTTTACAACTTCAGGATTTCTAGAGAACCTGGCATTCGTGCTCAGCACACAGGAGATGCAGATGTTCAAAGGGGCAGGATTACCTTACCTGTGGAAATTCTTGGTGGCAGCTTTCACAGGGCTTGTGCACTCATCCAAGTACACGTGGTGCTCAGAAACTGAGATACATACTGTCTAACCTTGAGCATCCACTGTCCTGTTCCCATATAACTAACTCGGGTAAAACTTCCCTCGAAGACTGTTTTTCCTAAAGGAGTACAGCCAGGCATAGGTGCTGATATTCACTTTATCAGGCCCTAAAATATGGATGGGAATGTGCAGCACCATCTAAAAACAGGAATTACTGTGACTTTGGTGACCTGATCCAAAGACCAGTTAATACGTTATAGCTGTTGCTATGTTCTTTTTGCCCGGAATACTGAAATACACTTGATGCATTTTATTTCTTAAATACAGCACAAAAGAAATGTATTCTTCTTGTCCTCGTTACCTTATAAAATTCCCTTATATGAGGCTTCCATAGAGTTTCTTTATCAGACAAAACATGTAAAGACAACAAAGGGAAAATAAAGTGTATATTTAAACTGACTTTCTGTACACGTTAGAAAACCTCAGCACATTTGTTTGGCATTCATTCCAGTTTTTGGAGGGGCTTTCAGCTGACTTATAGCACAAAACATGTGACAGAGCTCACATTCCTGGAGGAGGCACTTTATAGTCCAGTTTTCATTTAACTCACTGGGATGCAGCCCCCAAGGTCCCACTGAGTAATACACAGAAAAGTGTGACCCAAGTCCCATGTCAGCCCAAAGAGCGCATCAGAAGGGAAGATACCCTGATGAGTCAAAATGCGGCTGTGATCTGAAGAGGATGGCTTTGCCAGTGCTGAACTGCAAGTACACTCGAGTACGCTGAATGTTCCCAGAAAGGTGAGGAAAGGATCTCCATGGCAATGACAGATGGCAGGAATCTGTGGGTTTTGTGGTGAACAAGCAGTATCAAGTCACCTTTTGGCCTGATGACCTAAATCTCAGCTTGGGGACTTGCACATCCTTCATTCCTACAACTTTGCAGAGGAGGGGCTGCCGCTGCTGTGCCAGGGCTCAGATTTAACACTGTCATGGTTGTGCAACTTCAGTGGGGTCCCTCTGTACCTTCACTGGGGTACCTGGGGGAATAGTCAGTTAGAAGGATCCCCTGGCATATATTCAGGTGAAGGGAAATCACCTTTAGTGAAAGTTAGATGTGAACACTTGGAAACATGAAATAGTTTGTGTTCTACAAGGTTTCAAATATACCACTGTTTTTTCCTATTCAATCTGCCACTTTCAGACAAATACTGTTTGGAAGGTAAATGCCTAATGACATGTTCAGTTTAAGTACTGATTCCCACCAACAATAAAAAATAATATGCTACCCTGAATGCTAATAAATTTTAGTGCTTTTATTCCAACTGTATGAATCACCAAGATTTATACTTATCATAAAATTCTGGAAGTGAAAGTAATGAGGAAGTAATGGACTAAAGTAGGAGATTGTCTGTATTTTATTATATATTTGTCAGCAAATTGTGTCCAATATGGCATTGAATATTCTTCTATTATTATTTACGCAAAAAAAAAAAAAATCTATAGAATGCTGAGATAGAGCAATTAAAAAAAAAATGTGAACTGAAGTTTATGAGCTGCAATGCTCCTCAGTTAGATTGAATTGCTCCCAACAAAATGGATCCCAGGTAAAGATGTGTTCATATGGGTTCGTACTGCTTCTCTTGAGTTGCATTATTTTGCATTCTTTTTTATTTAATTAAAAATAAAATTAGATACATTATTACAGATTTTTTACAATTTTATGTAAGCTACACATGACAAAGACGTTATTTTTACTGTTAAATTACACTTGCTGAATTTCTGATAATGTCATTAAAAACAGCTATGTCCCTATCCTAGCATGGAAGTCTCATGGCACTTTATACAGTGCTGGTAGTATTAGACCCTATGTCCTAGCAAAATTTGGTGATAAATCCTAAAGTCTGTCTGATCTCAAGTTCTAATTTATTCTAGAGTACTTGTCTCCTTTTTGTCCTAGATTAATTAGAGCCAATACTACTCTCAGTGCATTACGGGAGGATTTCAGCCTTCTAGATACAACATTATCCATTGGATAAGAAGCTGAATTACAACCAAAGATGCATAAACTCTTCTGCTCACTGTGGGATTGAGCTAAGCGAGTCCCTTGACCTCTCTGTTTCCCTTCCTGTCATTTATGTGTGCTATCCATTAACATCATAAACTCTGCAGGGCAGAAACAGGGTTTGAAGTGTTTGGGTCAAGAGGAGCTTAATCTCTTTAAATGTTACTTAAATATCAGTAATAGCAATAAACTCTTGGCAGCAGGCTGCTGATATACTCAGGCTGCTGCATATTCTTCCTGATGAATATTGTCCTTTGCCTCCTGGACTCTGCCTCCCCCAAGTCCCGTCCCGTTGATGCTCAGCCTGGCGCAGGCACGGGCAGCCACACTCTCTTCTATTGGTCCAGGTGCAGCGCTCAGGCTCAGCATCACCCTGGCAGAGAGGTGATGGAGTCTGCTTTGCTTCCAAAAGACTAACACTACAGGCAAAGAGTGTGTGATAGCTGTGAGGTGTG